GCGTTTCTTTTGTTTTTTAGACAATCTAAAAAAATTCTAGATACAATGGTAAAAAAAAATTCACTTTTATTGATAATTTCCATGCATAACAAAATTAAACGAATAGTATTCGGTATAGTTATTTTTTTTTTCAAATTTTTTTTTTGGTCATCAGAACAAATTCTAGACCCAATGGTAGAAAAATATTATCACTTTAATAGACAATTTTCATAAAAAATGAAGTCAAACGGACACCAAATTTTCAACATTTTCCCTGAAAAATTATACCAATCAAACACAATTAATTACAATTCTCAATAAAATAATTTTTAAGCAAATTAATTCCTTATAAAATATTTTCTTTACACCTATTTTTTACATTTACAATCAAACAGACCCTTATTATAATGTTACTCACGAGCATGGAATATGTGATATTGGTTATTTTTTACCTGAAAAAAAAATTTGTTAAAAAAAATAGAACGGCGTGCAGAGAGTCAGAGACGGATTCACTGCATCAAAATGTCAGACTTCAACTACCCATCACTCGTCCTTCGCACGAGGCTACTGCAGTTCCCATTCGCTTCATCAAGTAACACCAGAATATGGTACAAAAACACGCGTCAATACCTTATTGGCAGATTCCTCTAATAAATTGATGATTATTTAGGCCTTATTTGAACCACTTTTTTATAGAATGAAAATGAAAAATATAGCAATTATTAGAGCCAATACAAGAGATAGAAAATTTAAATTTGAATGTTGATGTGATGAATAACGGTCATATTTTTCATTTTAATGAGAAAATAAGGTGGTCCAAACGGAGGCTAAGAAATATTTGACAGTGTGTCCACTGGCGAGAAATTGAATTTAAAAAAGAGCTCTGTTTCTTTACAAGAAGCAGAGTGGCCAGAAAAGGGCCAGACACTCACAGCAGGGGGTTATTTTTTTCAATATTTTACTCAGACGAGATTTATTAATGATTATAAATTAAGGAATATTTGACAGTGTGTCTCCACCGACAAGAAATTGAATTTTAAAAAGAGCTCTGCTTCTTATACAAAAGCAGAGTGGCCAAAAAATGGCCAGACACTCACTATAGGAGGGTTATTTTTTTCAATATTTTACTCATTACTCACATGGGGCCCACCCCATGTGAGTTTTCTGGCCAATTTTTGTGGCCAATTATTGTTTAAAAAAAGGGGCAGATGGTCAAACAAATTTTTTCTCTTCCATTATCGTTTCCCACATAAACCAAACCCATTGAGAGAGTAAAAAGTTTCATTAATCATTGCATTTTGTACGTTGTCACGTTATAGTCACTCTACTTTAATATTCCATTGGGTGGTCACTGAACATACAAACATTTCCTTCCATCCATTGCTACCTATACAACCGTTGGAAGCCATTGATTTGGCAAGACGGAATCATAC